GATGAACTTGTCCAGCACCTGTGCGCGCTGTGTGGGCCCGGGCCGGCTCAGCACCATGACCTGCACCCAGCGGGACACGCTGTTGCTGAGACCTACGGATCCCTCCAGGGCCGAGCAGCCTCGCACAGAGCCCTGTAAAACGTAGTCTCGCAGGTCCTGGGGCTGGGGATGAATGGGCATCAGGGTGGGCGTGGCGTTCAGGCTCTGCCCCTCACATGCCCATCCCCTTGCAGTCATGACCTCCTAAGTCAGTGGTTCTCAACCTTCCTAATGCCGCGACCCTTTAATACAGTTCCTCATGTTGTGGTGACCCCCAACCATAAAATTATTTTCGTTGCTACTTCATAACTGTAATTTTGCTACTGTTATGAATCGTAATGTAAATATCTGATATGCAGGATGTATTTTTATTGTTACAAATTGAACATAATTAAAGCATAGTGATTTATCACAAAACAATATGTAATTATATATGTGTTTTCCGATGGTCTTAGGAGACCCCTATGAAAGGGTCGTTCGACCCCCAGAGGGGTCGCGACCCACAGGTTGAGAACCGCTGTCCTTAGTCCTAGCCTGGCTGTCATGTCCCTGACGTCACCATGGCTCTTTCCCATCTGAGGAGAAATGTTTATGTATTTATTATTTTTTAAAATTCTCACTTGAGGATATGTTTACTGATTTTAGAGAGAGGAAGGGAGACAGAGAGAGAAACATCAATGGTTGCCTCCCATACTCACTCTGACCAAGCATCCAACCTCAGCCTAGGTATGTGCCCTAACTGAGAATCGATGTCACAACCAACCGAGCCACACTAGCCAGGGCCAGAGAAATGTTTACATAAAGCCAGGCACTCTTCTGAACCTTTTGTCATGTTAACTGATTTAATCCTCACATCGACTCTATGAAGTGACTACTATATTCTTCCCATTTTAGAGATGAGGCCAAGGAGGTACCGAGAGGATAAGTAATTTGTCCAGGATCACACATGCTTGAGTCAGGGTGGGAACCAAGTCTGTTGCTCTTAACTGTTTACCTGTCTGGTATACAGTCAGCAAAGGGAAGAATGACGAAGAGGACAAGAAACCGATTTCTATTTGTTCTGCTCAGGGGTCAGCATTCCATATCCACATGCACTGTGCTGAGTGTGTGCTGCATGTGTGTATGTGTGTGTGTGTGTGTGTGTGTATGTGTGCACACACGATCAGGAAATGTTCACATTCAAAAACCAGATCCTATCAGGATGATTACTTTGTAAGGTATGTAAATGTCTAATCACTATGTTGTACACCTGAAACATAAGTATGTTAACTGTAATTTAAAAATAAATTTAACAAAACAAAAGTATAAAACAAACACAACAAAAAAAACTAGATCCTCACCTTCCCTTGAAATTAGGATGGCAATAATGAACACTTACTAGATTGAAACATGAAATTACCATTTGGGCAGATAAATATGACAGCATTTACTCTGGACCAGGCACTGACCCTATCTTTAGCACTTACTATGTGCCAGGCATTGGGACAAGCATTTTCAAATGGACATATTAATTTAACTCTCCCAACCATCCAATGAAGTATTATGACCTCCATTTAAAAACACTGAGTCCCAGAGAGGGGATTAGTTCAAAGTTACACAGGTAACAAGGGGCTGATGGATTTGAACCCCAGGGGCTCTGTGCTCAACCAGCTTAACTCATTTTCCTGGCCCTTCTAGCACCACACTTGAGAGAGAGATCCCTGCCCAGAGTCCAGGCCAGGGTGGGGAGGTGTCCTCTTACCTGGCCCCAGCCAGGCCCCGCCCCATTACAAGTCCTCCCTAGCTGGAGGAAGGGGGTTCTCACCTTGATAGCCTGAAAGGACCGGAACTCCAGATAAGTGAGGTGCTGAGCCAGCTCCCCTGCCTCCAGGTGGTCGAAAAGCAAGGACACTTTGCACTTTTTGCCCAGGCCTGGGCTGCTTATGGAGGGTGGGGGGCCAGGGCCACCAGGGCTCAGACTGGGGGTAAAGAGGCGCAGGGTATTATAGGGGCTCAGGGTGGAGAATGTGGGGGGTATGGAGAGAGATGGCAGAGTGGGGGTAGGGACAGAATGGGGAAGGGCTGACTCACAGGTTGGAGGAATCTCCCAGGCTCCTCTGGGCTGAGTTGCCTTCCTGGTCCACAGTGGCCCAGAAACGACCTATAACCTCCTCTAACTGGGGCTCCTGGTGCACTGTCTCAGGGTGTTGGGTCAGCCAGTACCTGAGGACGGTTTAGAGATGGTGAGATGAGGCTGGATGGTGGGATGGTGGTTGAGGGTAGGGAAGTTCTCTGAGGAATCTCTAGGTGCTGGTGGGGGATCTCTGGAAGGTCAGGGTTCAGAGAGGCACCAGGCTAGTGCAATCTCTGGGATTAGGATTGGGGGCCTCTTAGCACAGGTCAGTGGATCAATAGGATATAAACTGGGGGGATCTCTTGGAAGTGACATTGCTAGGTAGGATAGTGAGGAGGTCTCAGGGGTGAGATTTTGGGAGAGTAGGATGAAGGGGGTCTTAGAAGCTAGGCTGGAGTATGTGGGAGGTAGGGGTTTGGGGATCAGAGCTAGAGGTGTCTGGGCACTAGCTGTGAGAGGGTCTATAGGATCTGGTTAGGGGTCTCTAAGAGGTGAGAATTCTAAGGAGCATAACTGGGAGAATCTTAGCAATCAAACCAGGTATCTGAAAGTGGGATTTGGAGAAGCAGAGCTGGGTGGGTCTATGGGGAATTGGGCTGGGGAGTCTACTAGGAGGTGTTTTAGGGGTCAGCAGGGTGAGGGTTTGGGGTCATGGGTATGGAGGTCTTGGCCCAGTCCTACCTGACCAGGTGACAGATCTGCAGCCGCCTCAGCTCCTGCGTGTTCCCTGTGGCCTCCTGATACTTGGGTTCTGGTTAAGGCTCTGATAGCCAGCATCCCAAACCTGCCTGTTCACTTTGTCCCTATCTCTCAGACTCACATCTCTGCCCTCTGCCCTTCACCACTGCCTATGGCCCTGGGAGGATATAAGGTCAGCAGACGGGCAGCAAGGTGGTCAGAAGGCAGCACCCAGCTGTGCATGGCCAGTACCATGTTGAGAATGTGGTCCCCACGGCGCAGGCTGCCAGCCGAGTCTGTGGACAGAAGAAGGGGACCCTGTGTCAGAATGGCCCCCAGGCAATGAACTGCAGTCTCCAGAGCCAGTTGGACAGCCTGGTTCAAACCCCAGCTCTTCTCCTGACTCCCTGCATGAACTTGGGCGAGCAAGTTGGCATCCTTGAGTCTCAGTTTCCTGGTCTGTACTATGCATGAATCAGAACATTGGCAAGTCATGTTGAAGATGGAAATACTATCAGACTTCCTCCTTCTCCACATCTCAGGAAAGAGAAACACAGGTGTCTCTCATATCTAATGTAGTGATTCCACACATCCTATGTCATAACCCCCCACCCCCACCCCCACCCCCACCCCCCAAATGAGGCCTAAAGAGAGGAGAGCACTTGGCCCAACCTTAGTATTTGGGAGGCTGGCCAGGGAGGGGGACACTCACCAAAGGACTGAATGCATTTCTCCAGCAGCTCATCTTCGCTGCAGCCGCCCTCTTTCAGCATGTCCAGAGCCATGGAAGCCATGACCTTGCTGATTTCCCTGGGGCTGGGGCACGTCTTGTGGCGGCGGGCCTGTCGGGGCCGGCCCCGCCCTCCTGTCTTTCCTGGGCATTCCTGGTGGGACTTCCTGTGGGCATTTCCCCCAGGGAATCATGGGAGCCCCTTTCTTCAGGCAGGCCCCCAGAATCCTTCTTGACCTTAAAGCCCTAAAGGCAAAGCCTCAGGGTTACTCCTGACCTCCCATGGACTCATGGGAGAAAACCCCCAGAGTATTCCAGATCATGGGAGCCTTCAAAGGCTAAACAGGTAAACTCCAAAGGTTACTACCATCTCCAGGGAATCAGGATAAGACCCTCAAAACTACCCTGAAACATCCACCGCCCCCCAGAGAATCATGGGAGATGACCCTCTAGTAATAAGAAATTTCTCCTCTAGGCATTGCCCCCAAATTCCCCTTGACTATACAGTCCCTAGGCATCATGGGAGATATTTCCTGTTGGCAGATCCCTGGAATTACTCCAGATCTTAAAGGGAATTATGGGTGAAGACTACCATAATCCTGTCATCCCAGGGGAATCATAGGAGATTCTGCCTTCAGGGAGACTCCACAGAATTCCCTTTTGTTCTCCAATGCTGTGCCTTCTTTTCCCAGCCCTCATGAGAGCAGTAGACACTGAGATTCTATCTCCCTCTCCCCTACCTTGACACCTTCATCAGGCCAGCCCTTCTGCAGGACTTGAGTCTTAGCCACTCACTTTAGTCCCTAGATTTGGAGCCTAGAGAGAAAGTATGGGTGCTCTTCAGAGTGGGTGGGGTCCTTGGGGCTGATACAGTTTCAAGGGAAGTTTAAAAATAACCCTCACTCTGCTTTGTGCCTCCTCAAGGCTGGAGGCTGGTGTTCCCGTTGGGGAAAGAGGGTAATGGAGAGACTGGAATGGTGGAGGAAGCAGGGAGGAGAATCCAGGCAGAATAGCCTTGGTTTCCACAAGTCAGACAAATTGAAGTTGGAGAAATGTATGCTGCCATGTGGCTATTAGTCACTTAATTTCTATGGGCCTCATATAAAAAATAAGAGTCACCCTGGGACCTTCCCTAGGAATCTGCTCTGAACATTCAATGCTTCGCTCTTCAAAAGTGCTAAGTAAGCCTGGCCGGTGTGGCTGATCAGTGGTTGATCATTGATCTATAAACCAGGAGGTCACGGTTCAATTCCCAGCCAGGGCACATGCCTGGGTTGCAGGCTCGATCCTCAGTAGGGGGCGTGCTGGAGGCAGCCAAGCAATGATTCTCTCTCATCATTGATGTTTCTCTCTCTCCCTTTCCTTCCTCTCTGAAATCAACACATATATATAGGTCATGCAGGCAGAAAATGAGGCAACTAGGTCTCAACCACTAAATTGCTGGATATTATGGGGAAGGGACCCCTTTGTACATCAGAGACATGCTGGAGGAGCTGCCCAGGCTAGGAACCCAATTACCATGGCCTTGTGAGGACACGAGGGCCAGCTTGCCCAGGTGATAGAGGTCCATGCCAGAACCTGCTGCCAGAACCAGCTGCTAGGCCCTTACCTGCGGACTGTCTGACCCCTGTAGTATCTGAAGCAGCCAGGAGTGGTTTAAGAGGCAAGGGAATCCCTTTGCCCTGTGTCACATCCTCTCCCCCGGGGCAGGTCCCTGCAGGAGCCTGGAGTTTCCAGTTCAGGGGGTCAGCAAGCGACTGTTATAGGGAACCAGGAAGACCCCAGGGAGGACAGAGGGTGGGGGTGGGGAGAAGGGGAAACAGAGCAGGTCCAGCTCCAGAGAGAGCGAGGACAAGGCATAGAGCTCATACAAAGAGCCCAGCATTGGCTGGCTCTGAACTCCCTAAAGCAATGGTTCTCAACCTTCTGGCCCTTTAAATACAGTTCCTCATGTTGTGACCCAACCATAAAATTATTTTCGTTGCTACTTCATAACTGTAATGTTGCTACTATTATGAATCGTAAGGTAAATATCTGATATGCAGGGTGGTCTTAGGTGACCCCTGTGAAAGGGTCATTCAACTGCCAAAGGGGTCGCGACCCACAGGTTGAGAACCGCTGCCCTAAAGCATCTTTCCATCTGGTGCCCCCTGCCCCTGCCTCTGCTCCCAGAGGACCCCACACCCTGCTAACTGGTTAGTGCCTCCCAACCTTCCCACACAATGGGAGGCTCAGGGGCTTTGGGTGGCCCAGTCTCCTCGAGGGTCTCTCACCTCTTGCTGTCTTTCCTGTTCATGCTTCCTGGGGGTGGGGTTGGAGGGGGTCTTGCAAGGGTCTGGCTCAGCTTCTCCCCTTTCACCAATGCTCCAGCTTCTTAGCCCCTTGGGAGCTGGGGCCTCCTCAGTGCTTGGGAAGGAAAGAGGAACTGCCCCTCCCCACCCAGGCCCAGGCCAGGGGGAAGGAAGAGGCTGGGGAGAGACCAAAGGTTCCCCCTCCCCCCACGTGGGGATCCCTTCAGGCTGAGGTTTCCGGTGCTGCTGGCCCCCACCCCCAATCACCCAGTGGGCTTTCTATCTCCCTCATCTTTCTGTCTTTAGACCCGTGATTCTCTGTTCTGTCATTTTCATACTTCAATAAAAGCATTTTTAAAAGTATGCCTTATATGACACATTCATGTAAAAATACACTCAAAATAAAAATTTATATTTCTACTAGAGGCCCAGTGCACAAATTCGTGCACGGGTGGGGTCCCTCTGGGTGACCTGCAGGGATTGGGCCGAAACCTGCAGCTCCTACCTGCCACTCCTGCTCATCCTGGCCCCACTGTGCCCATACAGTCCCTATCAGGAGAGGCTGGTGCTGCCACAGCAGGCACTCGCCAGCCATGAGCCCTGCATCTGGTGCCCTCCCAAGGGGAGTGGTCTGCAAGATTGGGCTGAAACTGGCTCTCTGACATCCCCCAAGGGGTCCTGGATTGCGAGAGGGCACAGGCCAGGCTGAGAGGCCCCCCCCCCCTCCCGTGGTCAGTGCATGTCATAGTGAGCGGTTGAGCAGCCTTAGCATATCATTAGCATATTACACTTTGGTTGTTCGGTTGTTCTGCCGTTTGGTCTATTTGCATATTACCCTTTTATTACATAGGATAAGGACATATTCATGTACAGAATGTACAAAGCTTTAAATGGAAAGTTACAGACATATTATTTTGTGTATTTCTTCCTAAGTTTCTTTTATTCCTAGTTTAGTCTTCGCTTTATTACCTTCATTGTAACAAAGCCTTATGTAGTGTCTACTGTATACCACACACCGTTCTAAAGGCTTTAAAAATATTAACTCATTTAATTCTTACACAACGTTAAAGACTGCCATCTTTTTTGTTTGTTTCCTTTGTTTTTTTTGTTAATCCTCACTCAAGGATATTTTTCCATTGACTTTTAGGGAGAGTGGAAGAAAGAGGGAAAGACAGAGAGAAATATCCATGGGAGAAAAACACATCAATTGGTTGCCTCCTGCATGAACCTGACCAGGACCCAGGCCGGGAGGAGCCTACAACCAAGGTAGATGCCCTTGACCAGAATCGGATCCAGGACCCTTTGGTCCACAGGCTAACACTCAACCAGCTAGGACAAGACTGTTATCTTATTATGAAGAAAGCATTAGAGATGGAGGTAAACCCTCCCCATCCCATTGTCCCCCCCTAGGCAGGCGTGACCAATGTCACATGTTGTTGGGTCTCATCTGCTTTGTTGGCTGTGTTTATCTGGGTATATGAATACGTACTCATAGAAAGACAGACTTTTCTTTTGAGTATGTGTGTGTTTTTCTTCTACCTAAATGTGTCATGCTTGACATATTTTTTAATTGACATACGAATAAAGAGCACAAATCCTAAGTGTTTAGGTTGGTGAATTGTGACAATCACACCAATCAAGAAATAACATTCCCATCCTTATTTTTAGCCAAATAATTTTTTATTGTGTGACTATTCTATGAATGATCAATTGATTTTCCTGTGATGGGCATTTGAGTTCTCAGTTTGGGGCTGTTGTGAATATTGCTGCTGTAAACATTCTCACACATATCTTTTGATGAACATTTAAGTGTACAATTCTGTAGGGTACATACCCAGGAGTAGACTAAATGGATCATAGTAATTAATATGCTTGTGCCAAACCTACTGTGTTAGTTAATTCAACCAAAGCTCTCTTAGAAGTGTGTGTGTGTGTGTGTGTGTGTGTGTGTGTGTGTGTGTGTATAAATTGATTTCAGAGAGGAAGGGAGAGGGAGAGAGAGATGGAAACATCAATGATGAGAAAAAATAATTGATCAGCTGCCTTCTGCACACTCTCACTGGGGATTGAGCCTGCAACCCGGGCATGTGCCCTTGACTAGAATCGAACCTGGGATCCTTCAGTCCACAGGATGAGGCTCTATCCACTGAGCAAAACTGGCTAGGGCTAGAAGTATATTTTTGCTTTTTTTTTTTTTTTAGACTAAATGAAGGTGTTTTTTTTTTCACACCAGAACATTTAGACAAGTTCAGAGCCCATTCTCTTTAGCTTTTCCATGACATAACAAAACATATAGTTTCAGACCCTCCTTCTGCATCTCTTCCTCTTTCTACTTCTTTTCCTCTCTTTCTTCCCCAGTCTCAAGCTTGTGCTCTCCATGATGTGCTGTCTTTCAGCCCATCTCCTCAGCACCTGCATCTCCGGAGGTGATGTAATGCTCCTGGCTGAGCTGACTCAGCCTCAGGGAGGGTGGAAGGAGGAAAAGGCCCTGGCACTGGTGTATTGGCACCTCCCTCAAAGCCCTCAGGGATGGTTAATACAACAATGACATGGACAACCAGAAAGGGACAGATTTCTGAAGCAAACCACAAAATTCATATGGCAGAAAAAGGATGCATTTGGTAACACTCAAATAAGGATTTTGTTTAATGAGGACATCGTGGGACAAATGTTAGATGCTACAACAGGGAAAGCTATTTTCAATGTCTAAAATCAATGAGACTTTTTTGTTGTTGTTGTTAATCCTCACCTAAGAATATTTTTTCCATTGATTTTTAGAGAGAGTGGAAGGGAGGGAGGGAGGAGAGAAGGGGAGGAGAGAGGGATGAGAGAGAGAGAAACATCTTTGCTCCACTTATTTATGCATTCATTGGTTGATTCTTGTATGTGCCCTGACCAGGGATGGAACCCACAACCTTGGTGTATTGGGATGATGCTTTAACCAACTGAGCTACCCTGCCAGGGCTATCATGGGTGGGTCTTCAACACATAATGATGACTGAAAAAAAAGAAAATTATTATTATCATATGATATAATGCAAAATGACAGAATAATTTTATATCTAATCTAATAAAAGAGAAACATGCAAATTGACCACACCTTCGCTATGCCCCAAGCCAAGCCCACCAGCCAATCAGAGCGACTATATGCAAATTAACACAACCAAGATGGTGGCCGGCAGCCACGGAGCTGGAGCAAGCAGGAGGCTTGGTTGCCCCGGCGATGGAGGAAGCCAAGCTTCCCACCTGCCCTGGCCAGCTCTGGCCTCCACTGAAGGCAACAAAGTTTCAATTATAAAAGATAAATAAACCCCAGATACCTGCTTCTAGCCAGCCTCCACTGGGAGCTTGGGTGGCTGGGGGCCGTGGCCAGCCTGCAAACAGCCATCAGCCCCTCACCCAGGCTGGCCAGGCACCCCAGGGGGGACCACCACCCTGAAGGAGCTGTGGCCAGCCTGCAAACAGCCATCAGCCCCTCGCCCAGGCTGGCCACACCCTCATGAGGTGAGGGTGCCTTCTGGGGGGCTTGGCCAGCCTGCAAACAGCCATCAGCCACTCACCCAGGCTGGCCAGGCACCCCAGCAGGACCCCCGTCCTTGAAGGGGGTGTGGCCAGCCTGAAAACAGCCCTCAGCCCCTCACCCAGGCTGGCCAGGCACCCCAGCGGGACCCCCACCCTGATCCGGGACACCCTTCAGGGCAAACCAGCCAGCCCCCACCCATGCACTAGACCTCTATCCTATATAATAAAAGGGTAATATGCAAATTGACCCTAACAGCAGAGCGACTGGGAATCACTGGTCACTATGACACACATTGACCACCAGGGGCAGACACTCAATGCAGGAACTGCCCCCTGGTGGTCAGTGTGCTCCCACAGGGGGAGCTCTGCTCAGTCACAAGCCAGGCTGATGGCTGCCAGTACAGCGGTGGTGGTGGGAGCCTCTCCCGCCTCCTCAGCAGCGCTAAAGATGTCCAACTACAGCTTAGGCCTGCTCCCCACTGGCAAGTGGGCATCCATTATGTAATTCAACAATATGGTACAAACATATGCTATATATTACAATTGTATCACTATACCAATACTTAACTATGTTACACCTAGCAACCTATTATATATTTAACACTACATCCCAGTGCACGAATTCATGCACCGGTGGGGTCCCTTGGCGTGGTTTGCGGGATCTGGCTGAAACCAGCTCTCCCACATCCCCCGAGGGGTCCCAGATTGCAAGAGTGCGCAGGCCAGGCTGAGGGACCCCACCGGTGCGTGATCTGCATGATCTGGCCAGGGAGGGACGTGGGAGGTTGGCCAGCCAGGGAGGGACCATAGGAGGGCTCCAGGGCCTGTCCGGCCTATCTCGCTCAGTCCTGATGGCTAAACCCCAGCAGCAAGCTAACCTACCAATTGGAGTGTCTGCCCCCTGGTGGTCAGTACATGTCATAATGAGCGGTTGAGTGATCTTAGCATATCATACTTTGATTGGTTGAACGGATGACCAGACAACCAGTAATATAGCATATTAGGCTTTTAGGCTTTTATTATATAGGATTTTTATAATTTTATAAAACTGTAAAATATTGTTTTATGTAACTTAATAGATACCATGTTAACAATGATAATAATTTTAATAGATCCCTGTATCAATCAGTTACCATGTTGATTTCCTCATGGAACTTTCCACTTGTCCCCATTAAATAGGAACTATTCTAAATTAACCCAATTGCCAGATGAGGAAACTGAGGCCCAGAGGCATGAAGTTGCCTGTCTGGCAGGAGGCCCAAGTAGGTGTGCCTTCCTGTGTTGGGCCTCCAGGTCCCACAGCTGCATGTGATTTTTGAAAAAATATGTTTTTATTAGAGAGACAGGAAGAGAGAGAGAGAGAGAGAGAGAGAGAGAGAGAGAGAGAGAGAGACATTGATGAGAGGGAAATATCAATGGGATGTCTCCTCCATGCCCCCTTCTGGGGATGGAGCCTACAACCCCGGCATGTGCCCTGACTGGAAATAGAACCAGTGACCTCTTGGTGCATGAGACATTGCTCAACTAACTGAGCCACACAGGCCAGCACCACAGCTGCCTGTTTAGGAAAGTGTAGAAGCCCTCCACACCAGCTCCCAGGAAGAAGCTGGTTACCCCTCTCAGGTGTCTCCTATTTACAAAGCCCAGAGTGCTCATCTGCATAAAGCAGTGGCCCAGCTAGTGGCCCTCAGCAGCTCAGGTGAACCCTGCAGAGAGGGAGGATTAGAACTCTGGGGTTGGGGTCTGGACATGGGGAAGTGGGTTTTTGTTATAATTGGAAGATTTTATGCAAATATTGAGACAATAAAGCAGAATGGTTACGAATCCTGGCTTTGAATGCTTAAGAATCCTGGCTTTGGCCCTAGCCAGTTTGGCTCAGTGGGTAGAGCACCGGCCCGTGGACTAAAGGGTTCCGGGTTCAATTCCATCAAGGGCACATACATTGGTTGCAGGCTCCATCCCTGGCCCTGGTCGGGGCACCATCTGTGGGAAGCAACCAATCAATGTGTCTCTCTCACATTGATGTTTCTCTCTCTCTCCCTCACTTCCACTCTCTCTAAAAATCAATGGAAAAATATCGTCAAGTGAGGATTTATATATATATATATTTCTGGCTTTGGGTTCAAATCCCAGACTCAGTCTCTGTGTGACCTGGGACAAGTCACTCCACTTCTCTGTGCTCAACTTTCCTTACCTGTAAAATGGGCCCTGTGAGAGTATGGCTTCACCATACTGTTTTGAGAACTGCATCATTTTATTCGTGTCCTTAAAAGTATACATGGTAGCCGAGACCGGTTTGGCTCAGTGGATAGAGCGTCGGCCTGCGGACTGAAAGGTCCCAGGTTCGATTCCGGTCAAGGGCATGTACCTGGGTTGCGGGCACATCCCCAGTGGGAGATGTGCAGGAGGCAGCTGGTCGATGTTTCTCTCTCATCGATGTTTCTAACTCTCTATCTCTCTCCCTTCCTCTCTGTAAAAAATCAATAAAATATATATATAAAAAAAGTATACATGGTAAGGACCACACATTTCATTTCCTCCTCTAAACCATGTGAACAATAGCAGGATTGTTGTGAAAACTAAATGAGATGCGTAAAAAGATCTAAGCCCAGGACCTCGAATGCAGCATGTACACAAAAGACCTCTGCTATGGCTATTGTTCCTGCCTCCTCAGTTTTTATAATAATGATGATGCTAATAATAATAATAAAGTAGCAGCACTTACATAATATTTACATTGGTTCTGTTTTTAGGTGCTGTAAATAAATGATCTCATTTAATCCTTGCAACAACCCTTAGTGAGATAAGTACTATTAATATCCTTCTTGCCAGTTGGGGAATCTGAGGCACGGAGAGGTGAAGTGACTTGTCCAAGATCACACAGGGAGTCACAAGGCTGGGACTCGGATCCTGACTGGCTCAGAGTCCTTGCTTTTAATCACTAAGTATGCTGCGTTCTATAGTCCGGAGACCTAGTGCACAGTCCGGCTCTGCTGTGTGACATCAAGCTGGGGCTCCCCGTTCAGTCAGTTTGCTCTGTGAAATGAGGGAAAGATGGTCCCTTCCTTACCAGGAATGCGTAGAGAGAGCGGCTACCTGACACTCCCTTTGCGTCCCTCCCCACCCAACGCTTACCCGCTGCCTAGGTGTGTGCCTGTGGGCGGGGCACTGGCGAAGGGGCGTGTCCCGAGTAGCCTTGGCCCAATGGGAGCCCGGGGGCGGGGATCTCCTTCCAGCTCTCGCCAGCGCGTGGGTCCTCCTCGCAGTTCCATCGGCCTCGCGGGTCCCTCTGGTGTCCCCAGAGGTCTCCGATCCCCGCCCGCCCGCCGCCCGCCCGGCCTGAGCCCCCTTCTTCCTATTCCTAGACCTCAGCGCCGTCCCCTCGGGCCTCGACATCATGGGGGACGGAGGAGAGGGCGAGGATGAGGTTCAGTTTCTGCGGACGGTGCGTATCTCTTTAGGGGGACTCTGGGGCGATTTCTCGGGTTCCTCTGAGTTCTCTGTTCTGATTGCTGGTGGTCTCTGAGACTCGGGGTCTCTTCCTCTGTCCCTCTGGGTGAGTGTCACTCCGTCTTTCTCAGTTTTCGTCTCTCTTCGCTGCCCCACCCCCACCCCCACCCCGTTTCACCACAGAGAATTAGCCGACTTTGGGGAGGGGATCTTGGGCCGCCCCCTCTTATGCCATTAGCGGCTTGTCTCGGAGAAAGGGGGCCGCTGGGAGCACCCTCTCTCATCACCCTGGAAGCAGGCACTTGGGGGAAGGTGGTTCTAATTCCTGAGCTTAATTTAGCCGTCCCCCCCGCCCCCCCAACCTAGCCCTCATTCTCTTCTTGCTCCAGGCTCTGACCTACTTAAATTCTTGAGAAGGGAGCTGGGGTGGGCTGGACATCCCAAGTCCTTTGCACTCCCAGCCCTTGAGGGCCTCCTGGGGGTCCCTCAGCTTCTGGGTCCTCTTTCTTTCCCACCTTGGTGTTGGGAAGGAGGGTAAAATATGGTTGTTGATAATCTCTGGGTCATGTCTTGCCCTATCGGTCTCTTTGGGTTGTCTCTGTGTCTCTGTCTTTGTCTTTTGGTTTCAGGCCCTCTGTGTTTCATTCTTCTCTCTAGTTCTGTCCCCACATCTCCGATCCCCTGCTGGGGGCAGGGATGGGAATTGGAACAACAGGTGTCTCTCCCAGAATAGCCCGCTCTCTGGGGGCTGGGCCGTGACAGGGGGATGATGGGGGAGGAGCTGCCTATCTCGGAGTCCTTCCTAATTTCCCTCCCAGTGGCTCAGCTGGATGTGGGGTGTGAGTATGGAAGGAGATGTTCTCTCTTTTGGGCCAGGTCTGCTGACCCTGCACTAGCTCCTCCCCTCCCCCTCTGGGCCCGGGGAAATGCTGACACAGCATGCAGCCAGGTCTGATGGCGAACCTTTTGAGCTCGGCGTGTCAGCAGTTTGAAAAACCCTAACTTAACTCTGGTGCCGTGTCACATATAGAAATTTTTTGATATTTGCAACCATAGTAAAACAAAGACTTATATTTTTGATATTTATTTTATATATTTAAATGCTATTTAACAAAGAAAAATCAACCAAAAAAATGAGTTCGCATGTCACCTCTGACACGCGTGTCATAGGTTCGCCATCACTGAGCTGGGACCATGGTTATGAGGTCTTGTTTCCTGGGAGGGAGGAACAGACAACTGGGGCTGGCAGTGAAGGATAGGGACAGCTGAGCATGCAGCCAGGGGAGGAGGCCTAGCTTCATCCTAGACCAGTGATGGCGAACCTTTTGAGCTCGGCGTGTCAGCATTTTGAAACACCCTAACTTAACTCTGGTGCCGTGTCACATATGGAAATTTTTTGATATTTGCAACCATAGTAAAACAAAGACTTATATATTTTTTTTAAATACATTTTATTGATTTTTTTACAGAGAGGAAGGGAGAGGGATAGAGAGTTAGAAACATCGATGAGAGAGAAACATCGATCAGCTGCCTCCTGCACATGTCCCACTGGAGATGTGCCCGCAACCAAGGTACATGCCCTTGACCGGAATCGAAACTCTGGTGCCGTGTCACATATGGAAATTTTTTGATATTTGCAACCATAGTAAAACAAAGACTTATATTTTTGATATTTATTTTATATATTTAAATGCCATTTAACAAAGAAAAATCAACCAAGAAAATGAGTCCGCGTGTCACCTCTGACACGTGTGTCATAGGTTCGCCGTCACTGCTCTAGACTCTTGCCCCGGCTCCAGTCTCTTCCACTGGGTTGGGTTCTCCTCTCCTCTTGGGCCCTAATGAGAAGGTGGCCAAGGCCATCAGCCCCTGAGCTACTCTATGTCAGACCCGTGGCCAGGGCCTCAGCCTCTGAGGCATCTAATTATATCCTCGCTGCCTGTCTTCTGAGGTAGGGCCCTATCTTTATCTCTCTGGGAGATTTGAGGGAAACCAAGGTATGAGTGGAACAACTTGCCCAAGGTCAAGGTCAAGAAGAATCATCTCTAGATACCCCTGGGGCCCAGTCCTCCTGCTTTCACAAGAGGAAAACTAGGCTCGGACTTGCCAAGGTAGCCAGTGTTGGGTTCTAGAGGCTTTGCCCTGGCATCTCTTGGCCACAGACTGGGTGTTTTTTCCTGAACTTTATTGATGTTGTGTGGTGGTTCTCTTTAACCTTTTATACCTCATTTCACCAGTAAGAAATATTTTCTATTGTAACCTGGTACACGTACATATACACATACATTATTTAAAAACCAACTTTGTTGAGGTATAATTGACATGCAATAATTGCACCCATTTTAGGTGTTACAATTCAATGAGTTTTGACAAACTGTACAGTTATGTAACCAGTATCATAATTAAGACAGAACATTTCCTTTACCCCAGAAAGTTTTCTTACTCTTTTCAGTAATCAACCTGTCCATCTACTTTATGTCACTATAGATTCCACTAGTCATTCAAATGTTTCATATACAATTCATGCTCATTTGTCTTGCTTCTTTTGCTCAGTATAATATTTTTGACATTCACCCATGTAGCATGTACCAAAAGTTCATTTCTTTAAAAAAATTTTTTTATTAATTTCAGAGAGAAAGGGATAGGGAGAGAGACATAGAAACATCATCGATGAGAGAGAATCATTGATCGGCTGCCTCCTGCACACCCCCCTACTGGGGATCGAGCCAGCAATCTTGGCATGTGCCCTGACCGGGATTTGAACCATGATCTCCTGATTCATAAGTTGATGCTCAACCACTGAGCCACACTGGCCAGGCAAAAGTTCTTTTCTTTCTTTAAAATTTATTTTTACTTTTTTTGATTAATCCTCACCTGAGGATATTTTTATTTTTCTTTTTTAAAAATATATTTTATTGATTTTTTACAGAGAGGAAGGGAGAGGGATAGAGAGTTAGAAACATTGATCAGCTTTTTCTTGCACACCCCCTACTGGGGATGTGCCTGCAACCAAGGTACATGCCCTTGACCGGAATCAAACTGGGTAGGGCCTCCCAAACTAATTTCATTTCCTTTACATGGGTGGTGGCCTCTTGCCACCACCCCCCCGCCCCCCACCCCATCCCCACCCCCATTCCTGGGCTGGGCTTTCTCAAAGCATGGCCCATGTCAGAATCTCCTGAGGGTGGTTAATGGCCCAGATTCCCTGCTCAGGCAGAGCCAATGAATCAGGCTCTTGGTGTTGGGGGGGAGGGGGGAGGGGTGGGAGACTGGCGTAGCAAGGAAGCTGCATTTTAACCAGGCCACCTCTCTTCATTCTTTTTTGTTTTTGTTTTTTAAAATATATTCTTATTGATTTCAGAGGAAGGGAGAGGGAGAGAGAGAGATAGAAACATCAATGATGAGCGAGAATCATTGATTGGCTGCCTCCTGCATGTCCCCCACTGGGGATGGAGCCTGCAACTCAGGCATGTGCCCAGAGCAGGGCACGACCTCCTGGTCCCTCCCTTCATTCTGATGCAGGAGAAAGTTAGAGAATCACTGGTGTAGCCATTCTCTGGTTCATGTCTGGCTTTGCCATTTGCCTGCTTCCAAACTTTGGGCAAGTGATTTTTATTTCTCTCTCCAAGCTTTAATTTTTTAATCTGAAAATGGGGACAAGGATCGATTCAGCAGCAAATATACTAAAATTAACAATGGGGCCTTTGGCTCAGTGGAGAGTGTCGGCCCGCAGATTGAAGGGTCCCAGCTCCAGGTTTGATTCCAGTAAAGGGCATATATCTTGGTTGTAGGCTCAATTGGGGTGCGTGTGGAAGGCAATCAATCAATGTGTCTCTCTCACATCGATGTTTCTCTCTCTGTCTATCCCCCTCCCTTCCACTTTCTCTAAAAATCAATGGAAAAATATCCTTGGGTGAGGATTAACAACAACAAACAAACAAACCACACACACACACACACACACACACACACACACACACACACAATGGGGACAAAAAATACGTACCATAAGGGTTCCAGGGGTCTGTGCAGCTCTCTCTCTGATCTCATCTCTCCCACTCTCCTTTGTTCTGCCGCTGCCACATCTATCCCCTGCTCTTCCTCAACACCCTCAGCCCCCTGCAGCACAGGCCTTTAAACAGGTTGCCCCTTCTTCCCCCAGAGACCATCAGGCCTGATTCCTTCTCATTATTTGAATAAGGTTCATGGTTTGGGATAAAGTATTAGGCTCAGCTCAAATGTCACCTCCTTGGAGAGGCTGTCACTTCATCCCCTCACTGATGTCATCCTTACCCCAAAAGCCACTCTCTTACATCACCCTGGGGAATTTTTTCCATTACACTTATCACTGACATTTAAATTATGAACCTATACACCTGTTTATTGCATCTCCCCCAAAGGATGTCAGCTCCATGAGGGTGGGGTCTGTCTGCTTTATTTGATGCTCTATATACTAGTACAGCTTCTAGATCAGTGCCTGGCAACCACAGATGCTCAATAGTTGTCTATCAAATGAACAGAAAGCCCTGAGCATAAGGCCTACCAGACAGCAGTGCTTAATAATGCAAGCTATTGAATGCACAAGTGCCAGGATGTCGTGGTTCTGGATTACAGGACAGAAAAGTTGTGGAGCCTCCTGGCCAACAGGTCCGCCCTCCCCCCTCCTCTTGCGCTGGATAGACAGACTGAGGGCTGTCTGTGTGGGCCAAAGCCCAGGACTGGAACACATTTATGTGATACGCTGGAAGGGCTGGAGACTCCTTGAATCCGTTTCTTCAGCTACAAGATGGAATGACCACTGCCTTCCTCAGCAGATAAGAGCTGTGGTCGCCATCATTTTTGATTGAGACCTCTATCCGTGAAAACACTGAGCACTCCCCGTGGACACTTGTACTATTTATGAAGGTAGATGTGGGCTACTATAGTCATGTACTAAGAGGTGGTCTAGTGTTCTAAGAGTGTGACAGACAGAGTTGGGATCAAGGAGCAGCTATGCCATATGACAGCTGTGTGACTTCAGGCAAGTTGCTTCACCTTTCTGGATCTCAGTATCCAAAGGTTCACATAACAAGACTTACTTTATAGGGTTTGTTGTGAGGATTCAATGAGTTAACTTCTTGGAATGAGACCCACCACATGAAAATGTGTCTATTTTACTTAAAATTTTAATTTATAATCTTGAAATCATTTCAAACTTAGAGAAAAGTTGTACGATTAGTTCTAAGAATTCCCATATGGCCTTCAGTCATTTTCCCTAAATGTGAAGATTTGCCATATCTGCTCCCCCCCCCGCCCTTCTCTCCGTATTTTTTTCCTGAACTGTTGTAGCTGTTTTAGGGTAAGTTGTGAACATGATACCCTTAACCCCTAAATACTGTAGTACCTGTTTCCTAAAACAGAAGGGCTGTCTCTTACAAATCACAGTACAGTTATCAAAATCAGGAAAATTAGTATTGCGATGATACCATTAGCTAATTCACAGTCCTTATTCAACTTTGACCAGTTGCTGAAACACCATCTTTTGTGGCATTTCCCCTCCATCCAGGATCTAGTCCAGGCTTTGGCATCACATTCAGATGTCATTAGAAAGCATTCCTTAAACGATAGCTTTAAAAATATATATATTTTTATTGATTTCAGAGAGGAACGAAGAGGGAGAGAGAGATAGAAATATCAGTGATGAGAGAGAATCACTGATTGGCTGCCTCCTGCATGCCTCCTACTGGGGATCGATCCTGAAACCCAGGCATGTGCCCTTGACTGGAATTGAACCTGGGACCCTTCAGTCTGCAGGCCAATGCTCTATCCACTGAGCCAAACTGGCTAGGGCGATGGCTTTTTGTTGTTGTTGTAATTATTATTATTATTATTTTTTTTTCAGAGAGAGGAAGGGAGAGAGAGAAACACTGATGTGAGAAACATCGATCAGTTGCCTCTGGTCTGCACTCAAATTGGGGATTAAACCCTCAACCTGGGTTCGTGCCCTGATGAGGAGAGAACCCATTACCGTTTGGTGTACTGTACTCTGCTCCAACCAGCTGAGCCACGCCGGCCAGGGCAACGATTTTGTGTGTTAAGACAATAAACAAAAAAGAAACTAAAGAAGGCTGAGCTTAAAAGCCATTGAACTTGATGTGTTCATACTTTCCACCCTCCAATGGCTCACCTTGAAGACCCCACCTGGGAGGCCTCTGGAGCCAGCTAGACTGAGGTTCAAATCCCAGCTCCTCCTGTTAGTGGTGTGGTCTTGGACAGGCCATGTTTCCTCTTTGAGCCTCAGTTTCCCATATTAAAATGGGATGACACTAGCTCCTATTTCATGGGGATGTTAGAAATATGTGCAGCGTTCAGTACGGGCACCTACTTGATAAATTGCAAGGTGGGTATCTCTTTCATGGGAACAAGGGTGGGGTGAGTGGCATGGTATGCAGTGTCTGTGGGGTGAGGGTGGGTGCCAGGGAGCCCTGAACCCCCATCTTTCCCCAGGATGATGAGGTGGTCCTACAGTGCAGCGCCACCGTGCTCAAGGAGCAGCTTAAGCTCTGCCTGGCAGCCGAGGGCTTTGGCAACCGCCTCTGCTTCCTGGAGCCTACCAGCAATGCCCAGGTCAGCACGGGAGTGAGGGCAAGGGCCGGGGAAGAGGGGGTCTAAAGGGGCACAGAATCTGTGGCCCAAAGAAGAGTGGTCTGGAAATCTGAAGAGGGGGTGCTGATGGGAGAGAAAACAGAGGGGGCTAAGAGGGAAAGGGGGCTGGGGTTTGAGGAGGGAGGGACCAGGGTCTTAGAAGGCAGGTGTCTGAGGTGGCAGAGGGCCTTGGATCTGATGTGACAGGGCCTGGAGGGTCAGGAGGATGCTAGCAGGGAACTGAGGTGGGGGGTTGAGTCTGAGAGGTGGAGGGTACCTGGGGTCTGAGGGTGAGGTGGACTCAGGGTCTGAGAGAGGAGGTGACCTGGGGGATGGGGCAAGGGCTGGGAAAGGAAGGGGACATGGCATCTGATGGGGGAAAGGGCCAGGGTCTGCAGGGGGCAGAGAGCCTTGGGTCCAAGCAGGAGGGTGTCTAGAAGTTGAGCTAACAGGTG